CGAAGATGTTTTCTGGATTTACCTTCATCAGTAGCGCTCAAAGCCAAGGATGTATATGTACTGAAACTAGAGCTACATGTATATGACCAAAAGAGAACTAAAAATAAAAGACAAATCCATCTAAGGTCAACTTTGCAAACTATCTAAAATTGCACGTTTATAAATTTTGAAATTATACAGAAACTAAAGTTTCACCTCCCTCAGACAAAATTGGTTTTATATGGATTTGGCTATTTTTTTGGTTCTTTTTGGTTTATAGCACTTCAACTTTTTCTGTCCTTAAAACATCTTTGGCTTTCAAATATTCGGCTTTGAGCATTCCTGATGAAGGTAGATCCAGAAAAGCGCTTCGGACGCATGAAATTTACAACGTGTTGTTTTCATTTTTTGCAAGGTGAAAAACGAGACATTGGTAATTTGTCAATGTTACAAAAACTAAATGTTCATTTCAATGGCTTAAAAAAAGCTGTTATAGTATTCTTCATCTTAAAACCAATACTTAAAGGTAGATAACACAAATATTCACAACATGCGTGTATTATATAAAAAGTAATAAAAAAACATCGAACACATGTTTGAAATTTATGTAATCTACATAAAGTTGTACCTTTCGGGAAACCCGTATGTTTCATTTTAAATGTATGTTTATTGGAACAGAATTATAGAATCAGAATCAAAAATGTTATCATGATTATCATATATAAAGTCTCTGATTGATTGTATGATAAAAACTATAACACAAGTTTCCATACGTTTCGGCTTTTACGGCCTTCTTCATTGGAATTAAATTACAACATTGTAGTATTGTTATAATTTAATTCCAATGAAGAAGGCCGTAATAGCCGAAATTGTATTATTGTTGTAATTAAATTCCAATGAAGAAGGCCAGCCGAAACGTATGGAAACTTGTGTTGTAGTTTTTTATATATTATTTATCTACTGTATCGTAACGATCCGACGCCCTCGTATAAGAGTGTTTGTTGACTACTATCTTGACGTGCTATATATGTATGTTATTGTGTTTGGTTTTAGTAACAAAAAGATTTGTTACTATGAATAAAGAAAATCAAATACAATGAATGCATAAGAACATTTTTAATTCATTTTTATTTCAGCCACGTGCAATGATTATTGGTGCGTTCGAAGCGCTTTTCTAGATTCACGTTCCCAAGGAATGCTCAAGTCAAGGATATATAAAAACTTGAATGCGCAAGGAACATATGACCAAAAGGGACATAAAAAGAATACTAGTAGCCAAATACGTCCACTTTGCTTGAGGGAGTTGGACCCTTAAATTCTTAATTACATTGTATTTCTTATTTGCCAATTTTTATAAGAATCATGTTAGTAACGACGCCATTTCTACAGTCAATAATAGAATAAAATAATATGAAAAGGTAATGGCCTCATCAATAATTCTTATCGTACAATCTTATTTGATTTTCTAGTAAACAAAAACTTTGAGAAGCTGTATCAACAGAGATCCATGATATGTGATACACGTGGTGAAACCGCTACTCAAGGCCAAGATTTTACAGAAACTTTTAGGAGCTGTTTCAATAGGGACCTAGGGTGTGTTGTTCCGGTTTCGCAAAGGTCACATGATCATATTAAATCCTTTCTTGTCTGATACAGTTCAACTATAATACGACAGTTATTCGCAGTACATCAACCTTTTCCTGGGGCCATTAGATATGTATTAGTCCCAGCCTCTTTAGATGTAAATTAAAGTTTAAATTTATTTTCATCACTTATTTCTTCAAAATAGCTCTTTACTTGTTCTTCCTAATAAAGTCCGATTGCGACAGATTATGGTGAAGTGAAATTCATCTCCTACATTTATTTTACATATTTGACAAATTCTGTTTCCTAATAACATTCTTCTATAGATAACGACCCTAGTTAATACATAGTTTACCGTATGTTGCTTTTATTTTTACCCAAAAATAAGAAGATGTGGTATGATTGCCAATGAAACAGCTCTCCTCCAAATTTAAATTTTTTTAATTGAAATCTTATGAACATTTATTTTCGAATTTGTGATATTCCTTAAATTCTCTATATTTTCTCAGTTTCCTTGACCAGAGTTGCAAAACATTTGTATGTACCTATAGATCATCTTTCCAACAAGGAGTACGTTTCTCTTCTAGCTTTTTGTATAATGCTTACAATAAGCGTCACTTAGAAATTGTGTTTTGAATTTCCGAAACATGTGAAAAAAATAAGCTAAGTTATAAAGTCGATTTATGCAAATCCATATGGCAGTTGCAGTAAAGATAATTGGGAACCATGCAGAAGAGAATTCATTGAATCAAAAACGTGTTGTCAGAAACTCTACTACATATTTTGAGGCTTGTATATTTTATCAAGGGTGTATTCCAAGTTCAGCTTATACAGCTATTTACAGACACTTTATTAACACCAAGTTCAGCTTGTACAGCTAAATTACAGACACTTTATTAACACCAAGTTCAGCTTGTACAGCTAAATTACAGACACTTTATTAACACCAAGTTCAGCTTATACAGCTAAATTTACAGACACTTTATTAACACCAAGTTCAGCTTGTACAGCTTAATTTACAGACACTTTATTAACACCAAGTTCAGCTTGTACAGCTAAATTTACAGACACTTTATTAACACCAAGTTCAGCTTATACAGCTAAATTTACAGACACTTTATTAACACCAAGTTCAGCTTATACAGCTAAATTTATAGACACTTTATTAACACCAAGTTCAGCTTGTACAGCTAAATTTATAGACACTTTATTAACACCACCATACAAATAAAGAGTTGTGGTATAATTGCCAATGAAACAACTACCCACCAAAGGTTCAACATTGAGCAAAACCCATACCGTAAAGTCAGCTATAGAGGGCCCCATCATGACAAAATATGAAACAAAACAATATACTAAAAACGACTTTGACAAATGGATAACCACTGAATTACAGGCTCCTGACTTGGGACAGGCCCATGAAGAATGTGGCGGTGTTAAACATGTTCTTAGTAAATTGTACTTGCATTTTCACTGCTCACAGTGAAAAATGTTTAGATTCTAGACTATAGAAATTGAATTCTTTAAAATACTAACAGACAAAACCTCTCTACAATAAAGGAGAATTAATTTTACATAAAAAAAAAATGTATATGAGGATTTGCTTTCAATATTTTCGTTTTTATACAAAACAAAATACCTTTGAAGCTTTTTACATGATAAATTTAGAGCACTGATGATTGTGAAAACACTTGAAGGCTTGAAAATAATAGTGCCAAAAAATATTTTTTTGAATAATGTCCAAATATTTATGTTTTGAATAATACCCAAATACTTATATTATAAGATCTGATTCTAACCATTGTCCTATGTAACCTTTATATTTTTGACAAATTTGTCTTTTGCCACTTCCTTCCCAGCTTTCCACGTTTTACACGTGAATAACAAAAACAAATCTATTTGAAAACTAACGGGTATTGCATGTTATGATTTTATTTTAACTTTATAAAAAAATGACCAAGATTAAATTTTTGTAAATTTTCAGCTAAAATGGAATATAGATTGCAAAATCAATAGTCAAACTTATGATTGTTCTTCTTTTGTGTGTTCTTTTTATATCAAAACTTCGAATCCTATTTTCACATCTTTGGTTCTCTTAACATTTGAATATGAGGGTAATTCAAGAAATGCGCCTAAAATGGTCAGTTTTTTGTCTTTTGAATACTACGGGTAGGAGTTGTTGGATTCTTAATGTTTTATCAAAAGTTAAAAAATAAATCTTAAAAGAGGAATTTTACACCTGTGCTCTCAACAAAAGACATACAAATTTGTGTTGTATGTAGAAAAATCAGTGAATAAACTTGTAATATCATTTGAAAAAGACTTTGATAAAAATTCATTATTGCAAATGCATAATATTATTTTAATATGTGAATAAATTTTAGCTATTTATATTTCCACAAAATTTGTCATAAATTTATTTTAATGTTACAAATTTCTTAGGAAAATGACATTTCATTGTTAAATTCGAGCTATAATAGTTTTATCCAAAAGCATAGTTATTATATTAAATATATTACCAGAAATAAAGATATCCTTTTGGTTTACCAATAAATGAAGCATTACTATATTAAATGTTACAAAAGTCATTTTATTTAAGATTGAAAAGAAATAGTTTTGAGTCAGACTCATTTGTGAATTGTTTGCATCTAATTCGATTTTCATGCAAAAGAAAATTTAATGCATTTAAAAGATTTAAAAGAAGCTTTAGCAATGAATCAGACCTGCAAATATACGTATTTTTTTCCATACAAAATTCCAAACATGAATGATGACATTTGTTATAGTTTAGTGTTTTGAAGACAACACTATTGAATTAAAAAAAAATGATGACTAAAGGACATCCTTCATAGAATAGACTGAAAAATAATTTATAAAAACAGATATAAACGTATAGATTGTTTTTTTTTTTCAAAGATAAATTTGTTTAATTTTATTGTATTATGTTCTATTGATAAATTAATGAATGGCTATATTACGTTTTTAGTAACCCCTGTTTTCAGTATATATCTTTTTATTTTTTTCTCCTAAAATTAATAATTCACGTTAAAAATATAAATATTGCCTGAGGATATACACCAACGTGTTGAAAAGACCTAAAGATTATGTTGTACTTTTACAACTAAATTGAAAGCCCCTTCCAGCTGTTTCCTTTTTTTAATAATTTTATTTCGTGTTTTCCACAATCAATAATCTTACTTCTTTTAAGGTGAACTTGCCCTTTTTACAAAAGAAATAATGGCATACATTATTTTTATGAGAATAGTATGCAAATGAGATGAAAATTTCATTCCTAATTAGTTATTGTCAGTTTATATACAGTTACAATTATGATGCGAGATGCAAAATATTGGTTACATTTTATTATCTTTATTTCTATTATTCTAACTTGAAAATAAACAAAAAGTGAATAATTGCGATGTAATATTAATACTTACATTTTTGTTGAAGGTCGGTCGATAATCAGACGTCTTTGGTAAAGTTATGAAAACCGCAAAAATACATTAATCAGAAGTATCGTAACCTAATATATTGATATTTTTGCATTAACATCAAAATAGAATTTTTTACACATCAACATAAAAGATAGGTATATACATAAAATGGATTTCTTTAATTAAACATCATTTTGATTTTACCGTTTTGAAATTTTAGACTTTTCCGATAAGTCAATGTCAAAGATGAAGGTAGGCGTGGCTTAGTTTATATTGTAATCCAATCAAAAAACTACCGTTGCAATAATACTTTTCAGTTGTAACGCTCTGACAGTCAAAGGAAATGTTTAAATTTTCAAACTTATAGTGAAATGAATCCGCAAAATTGTATTCAACGAAGTGAGAAATAAATTAAAAGCCTAGTTATTATCTACATTTCAGAGTAAAACTTGTATAATTTTGTTGAGATGTGATAGATTCATCGTAACGATTTTAAAATGTAGCTTTTATCTACATTTAACATTTGTTAAAGTTTATTCAGCCAAAACTTGGATCAAATTTCAAACGCCCCTTTCAAATTCGAGATGTATTTGAACTTAAAATTTGTAATTATAGGGTATAGGGTAAAATTTTTATTTATTTGATTGCGTTCAAAGAGAACGAAAGTGACCACTTAACAGATAGAAGAAATTCGCAAAAGACAACTGTGTTCTATTTCATATATAGTGCACGTAAAAATTAAAAAGATACCCATCTGCAGGTTACATTTTATGTTTCATTATTATTCTTCCTATTAGTTACGGAAAACGTCAGAAAAATGTAAATAGTTACAGATAAATATTTTCAAATTCAACGAACAGTATCGACCGCAAAGATTTTAATTTTGTATGTGCAACAGTGAATTGAACGTTTCTTAAACTTAAACATTACCTTTCAATTCTCTTTTCATGGACACACGGCATTAACAAAAAATGTTGGTAAAAATAGGACAACACATGTATAGAAAAAAAATAACCCCAAAAATATATGTTAATTTCCTACTACTGCACAATGAAAACTGCCTTTTTGTCTTTCCCCTGAATTAATTCGTGGCAGAATGATGAATGGGGGAACACCATAGGGTTTCTTTGAAAACATCTCATGGCAAATTTATTTATCAGGACAAGATTTGATACAAGTTACTGGTCAATAAGTCAGATAAAACATGATTAATTATTCAAAATAGTCTTGACATCTTTCTGAATAATAGCCATGGTATCGGATAAATCGGGATCTGAAGAATGTCTCTTTCAGATTTGTTCAGATATAAACTGTTAAGTAATCACTATTATGTAAGAAAAACAACAGATAAGCCAGCTCTCGACGCGTCCTTATGGTACACTATTACTCTAAGTCATCTTCAAGATTTTGATAAATCTAGCTCGGTCACCGAACAAAACTTTGACCCAACAATTGTTGAGAATCATTTTAGGGTTCGGAGAGACCTGCGTATTTAACATGAGCCAAACACAAATTGGCACACTATTACTCTAAGCCATCTTCAGGATTTTGATAAATCTAGCTCGCTCGCCGAACAAGTTTGACTCAACTACGGTTTAGAATAGGGTTTGGATCTATACCTATACGTGTTTAACATGAACAAAGGCCGAAACACTGACATGGAGAGGCGCACGATTTGGCCTCTGCTTAACATCATGCCAAATCTAGATTGGATTCGATTTCTCTCGGCCAGACTGACAGTTTGGATCGACTTAAAAAGAGCCGTATTTTATATTTCCATTTACATGTTTGATTCATATGAACAGGAATTCATATTAAGCGAACAAGCTATTGAAAGTTCCAAGCAAGGTTAAACAGTTGTTTAAAAGAAAACGTACTGTCGTCATTCCATTCGTCCGATTTTCAACCCATCCTCCTATAATAGGTACATGACTGAACATACGTTTTTAAGGTAAGAAACCTTAGTAAAATGAAATTGTGCAGCTTATAATTTTCTTATTTCGAATTAAATGTTGTTGGCTTCAATATAAGATACGTAAGCATGTGTTTCGTATTTCTAATGTTTGGATAGAACTTTCCCCCATAGCTCTTAAGCGGACGAATAAATGATGGACAATACAAATTTCAGGGAATTGCCAAACACTTTCCATTACAAATGTGTAGTGAGATATTGACTGAATTATGTAAATACACATCTCTAATTAGATATATTGAGGAGTATTTACTCATTACTTTGTTGTACAATTTCTATTAGGTGGTACTGCATGCAATGCCATGCATTGTGTAAGAAGAAAAAAGTAAAATAACAAAAATACCGAACTCCAAGGGAAATTCAAAACGGAAAAGCTCAAATACATCTAACGAATGGAAAACAACTGTCATATTCCTTACTTGGTACAGACATTTCCTTATGTAGAAAAGTGTGATTTCAATATAAGCAGATGCAGTATGTTCAACTACCTTTCAGTAAATGCAAGCTTTTTTGGCAAGATAAATGTATAAAGGGAGCGAATGGATATGTGATTTGATTCATGACACAAAGCTCCTTCACGCATTTGGAACAGGTACCAAATTGACATGATACAAGTCCAGTGCAAATGTAGTACCTTTATAAATCTACCATTTTTTTAAAATTAGACATTGTTCAGAGATAAAATTGTATACACGTGCTCAATCTGTAGTATTTTAAGGGGTATTCATCAAATTTTCAACATCAATGACATTTTGTGTGAATCTGAACTGTATATGGTGGAAATGGATCTGAGTAAAAATTCCAAATTTTATTTTCGATTTTAACCAAAAAGTCAAAAAAAAAATAGACTATTCATACTCAAAAAAAGTATTTCTCTCTTAAAAGCTTGTATTGTTATGTGATTATGCATCTTAGCGTTTCGTCCTAATGGGACTTTGAAGTTGATGGGAAAATGTGGGTATAGTATCGGAAATGAATCTGATTCAAATCGTCTCTAGAATCTTGGCGATTTAGAATTTGACATATCATTTCAAGTTATAAACTCTTGTTTATTACTAAAAATGCATTTGAATTGTAGATGTGCTCATTTGTGTTTGGATAAGTGTCTCATTAATGTCTTCACTTTTTAATATTGATAAAATATTTTTTTGTTATATTATTATGATTAAATTGGAGTTTGACGACCTTTATGCATTTGTCATTCCTTTCATATGAAAACTGGTGGGTTTGAATGAAACTTTGAAACATTTGTGGAAACTTTCTGCTATTTTACATTTTCCCAAGTGATGTTTTTTTAAAGATTGATTTAAAGATTTACATAGATATATCAAATAACTGCAGTGTACCATTCCTTCTCATTGTGGATATATAAAAAAGCCAACGAGTTTGAATTATGTTTTCATTACATGTCAACCTAAAAATAAAATAATAAGTGCACGTTAATATGTCCTTTGATTGAGTTAAGCCATTTCTATGTTGTGATGTTACACTATTGTTTCAGATATGGGTGAGGGTTTGGTACCATTAAAACGTTTAAACCCGCTGCAATTGTTTGCACCTGTCCTAAGTCAGGAATCTGATGTTCAGTAGTTGTCGTTTGTTGATGCGGTTCATAAGTGTTTCTCTTTTTTTTATATAGATTAGACCGTTGGTTTTCCCGTTTGAATGGTTTTAAACGAATAATTGTTGGGGCCCTTTATAGCTTGCTGTTCGGTGTGAGCCAAGGCTCCGTGTTTCAGACCGTACTTTGACCTATAATGGTTTACTTTTATAAATTTTGACTTGGATGGAGAGTTGTCTCATTGGCACTCATACCACATCTTCTTATATCTACGTATATACACTATGATAGAAAATACAGTTGAAAACTTCAGAATGAACGATTCAAGAGTCACAAAGAACAGAAGGTGCTCTGTAAGGGTAAGCCTATCCTGTTCGTTTGAAGTACAAACTGCTGCGAAACAACAGAAAGGGAGTATGACACGCTATTTCTTTACTCTTTTGAATATGTAAAACTTTCGGCAAGCCTCGCAAAATAAATTTGAAAATTCAACTGTCTCGAATGGAGAAATATTGTATAACACTCGATGTAATGATATAATCTACATTTATAAAGGTGGTCAAGACCAAATATCAATTCATTCCATAATATAAAGATAAAAGTAACACGCAACGAACATTTCAATTGGGAAAACTGACGGACAATGCGAATGCAGTATTTCACCGACTCTGTGAGAGAGGTATAATAAAAATAAGATAAGATAAGATGGCACAATACAATGAGACATCAACCTAACAACATAACCAAAAACATTTAAAAGTCAACATACTTTCTTTACAATATGCAAACTTCATCATCGTCCAACCAACCGCCTCGGTTGTCTCAAAGTAGTGTGTTCGCCTCGTGTGCGGGAAGTCGAGATTCAAACCCCGGCCGGATCAAACCAAAGACTTAACAATTGATATTTGCTGCTTCTCCGCTAAGCACGCGGCATGTAGGAGTAAATACAAAGAACGGCCAGCTCATAGTCAGAATGATGTGTCCAGGTACGGTGACATATCTTCCAGTAGACTGTTACCTTGTAAACTAGCATGTAAAAAATCCGGCTTAGCATGTCGGTCTAGTAGAAAGCAGGGGTTATATTCATATTACATTATCATGTTCGTGGCCTCCTGAATATGCATTTAACTTGCCACTGGACGTTAAACGGACATCTCATCATTGAAGGCCGTACGGTTGCCTATAATTGCTTACATCCGATTTATTTGAACTTTGGTGGATAGTTGTCTCGTTGGCAATCATACCTTATTTTTATATCTATTCATCTATAATTATCGTCCAGAGTCAAAACTAACAGATAAGTTTTAAGATGCCAAATTCCCAAAATTACAAACAATATTAAGATAAAACAAAAGAAAGCTCTTGACCAAATTCCATACAAGTGACAAACAAATATTATGTCAATTACGATTTTGTTACAATGTTAAATCTATTTCTCTACCAAAGTTATGTATCCTATCCACTTATAAGTACTTCTCTTTCAAATGTATGTTCAAAGTATAAACAGGGGGTCGAATTATTAATGGCTTCATTTTTTTTCTATTGTGACTTTAGTCTTTTTATAGCAGAATATGTGGTAGAGATACTCTGCAG